TAGTAATGACATCTCAAGATCTAAGAGCAGAATTAKGTGACACAGCACCACAGTTGTAATGTAGCAAGATCTTTTCTTAAAAAAATWATTATCCCACATTGGTTTCTAGAGTAGGTAAATAGAGAAGGTGTTAACTGCAACAAGGTAATCCATGGTCTAAGGCTGTTCATTTAAAATCTTTGTCAATACATGTSACTCTTATGAACAGCCACAATTAAATTTCCTTGATTTACCAAYAACAGTGTCTATCGTCAGCCCAGCACATTCTAAATGATACCACTTTTGACARTAATCACACTGCACCCAGTTGACTATTTCATGTTGCTCATGAGGGCACAAGCAGTCAGAACCAAAGCTGCACATATCTGGTACAGGTTTTTCATAGCTGTTGTTTGGTTTTGCGTGTTTTCTTTTCTTTGAGCTCAAAGTTGAGGACTTTCTTTTTGATCTTTTGGAATTTTTTCCTGTGATGCACAAAATAAAGCTGTCAAAAAAGATATGATGACAACATGATGAAGATGCAGGATGATGATGGATGGTTATGATGCTGGTTGTAATAAAGATGGTACATGGTGCTAATGAAAATGATGATGTTGCATGAGGATGCTGATGATTGACGTGATGAAGATGGCACATGATGATGATGATGCTAGTGAATGTAACGAAGATGATGCTGGGGATGATGGATGTGATGAAGATGACACATCTTGATGACGATGCAAGACGTTGAAGATGATGATGGCAACTATGATAGGTCATCAAATTGATCATGATTGTGGAGATGATAAAGACGATACATGATGATAARCATGTAAAGAAGAAAAAAAGAAACAGAAAGCAAAATAAGCAATCTAAAACATAAAAAATCAACTTATCATACCTTGCTTTGAAGCCTTTTCATGAGTTGATTCTCCACTTATAACTTTCTCATGAACTAAATTCGATGTTATATTTGTACAAGGATTGTCTAYATGTCTTCCATCCATGTTTTCTAGTGATGAACAAATTGGTGACATAGTCATACTGYTATTACTGGTGTAATTATCTGATGAGGGACTTGGCAAGCTGACTGAAAACAGTTCTGTATCACTCTCTTCCATTGCATCTTCAGCAGCAGCAGCAAATGCCAATAGTTCATCATCATTKTCATTATTGTAGGCCAGTATGTCACTGTCAGCTGTACTGGTGATGGAATCTGCAGTTCCATTAGATGTGATATCTGCCGCCCTAAAGAGTACAGTACACAATATTATAATTAATCAAATTCTCCAATTTACACTAAACACCCTGAATATAGATATCTGCAGTTCAAAGGGAGGCCGGAAGACTTTGCAAGGCAATCAGTCCACATTTTAGTTTACTTAAATGGGTAGAGAACTTTACATGGTTGCCATCCTYAGGCATATACAAGGAAATTTGTCATATATTCATAGACAATGAGGAATGGACCTTTTACCTTCATTTGTCATAATATTTTCCCATTTCGGACGGACCATGTGTCATTCCTAGAGGATTATTTCTTTGTTTAAGGGTTGTGCATGAGAAGACACATAAATATGGATACAACTAAGAACAATGAATTGTATTCTCAAATAAAATGACACATGGTCTGAAATGAGAAAACTTTACGCAACATTGATAAAAATTAAGGTACACAAGGCTTACAATATTCAGACCAGTTACTTACCTTCTTTCAATAGGATCCTCGGTATCTGTTTTCTCATTCCTYATAAAAGAAGACAAATTTGGTATAAATCCTTGAATTTCTGTCTTCTTGTTTGCTGGAGAGTTTTCCTAGAAAAAAAAACATTTATTCCAAGATCACTAATACTTCACAAGTTTACTAGTCCCTTTCATATTTCCCTGCACCATCTTGAAAGGTACTGTGCCTTTGCCTCAAAGCAAGATGAACTGTGAGCTTACGATAACAGAGATACATGAAGGTGTTGTCCAAGGTGTTAAAAATAGATCTCTATCATTGCAAGCTCCCTGTTTGTCTTGCTCCTATGCAAAGGCATGGCTACCTTTCAAGATGGCACAGGGAACTGTGAAAAGGACTATTAAAAGTAGAAAAATGATACAAAATACTGTACATAGCTCACAGTAACTTACCTTTGCTGAGACTATGGTTAAATCATGAACAGGATTTCCTACATATTTCTCTAACTATGAAGATAAAAATRTAATTACTCTTAGATTAAACTATTTGGGAGTAAGCAGGGTTGATAATGATGATTCTGATATRAAGTTAGTACATACCTTAAACCTAAATTCTGACGTCAGTTGCTTAGCAACAGTTCCAGGTACCAATACTGCACCCTTAACATGACCAAACGTGATAGTGTCACCAGGATTGATGTCAACTGTGTCCAGTATTTTCCTATCGTTGACATAAGTACCATTCAAGCTGGTATCGCATATCTTAACTTTGTTGTCAAATCCTACAGAAATTCTTGCATGAAGACGCGATATTAGACCTTTGTGGATGTTAGAATCCAAATAGATGTCTGATTKTGATGGATTTCTTCCTACCACTGTTGTTCCTTTATCAAGACTGCAATAACAGAGAACCAAACGCTGTTAAAATAAATAACTTGTTGTTTCTCAAGCTCTTGTTTTCACTTTCACAACACGACAAACAAGCTATCAGCTTCTTGGCTGAATTTGAACTTACAGAAAAACATTGCTGATATTTGGGCATGTAGCTGGTGCTCCAGTTCGCTTCAGACAGAATTTAACATGGTTTTCCTCATCAGAAGCTGTATTTAGAGGCATGTTCAAGGAAATCGAATGCAGTATTGTATTGTTTTTAAGGCTGCCCAGCTGAACGAATCCTACTCATTCATTCCACAACAACAACAACAAATTACCCGCCAGAATAACACGTGATTATTTGACCCTTGAGACTCATGGGAGATTTGAGGCACACAGGGAGCCCATTACGAGATTTTTTTCCTCTTCTTTTTTGCGATATGAMGTTTTGTTTTTTCTTTTCCTTCCTAAGCTTTTTATTTTCTATAACTATTTTAGAGTGCTTTTAGTCTCACTGTTGAATAGGTGACGTCAACTAAATTATATAAGTTATTTACTATTTTAGGTGACGTCACCTAAATTTGAAACTACGAGTAAACAGCTACTGAGCCTCAGGGGGAGAAACGATGATACAAATGAATGTCTATTCACTCATTCTCTGGTAAAACAAACCCCCGGATTAGCATGACCGTTATTTGGCGTGCTTTTACTATTTTAGGTGACGTCAACTAAATAGTTATCTAAGTTAGATACATTTATCTAACTACTCAACAGTTTGACTGAATGCACGCTACTACAACTCCTTAAACACAAAATTATAGTCAGGGAAATAAATAATTATTAGACCTAAGTACTGTAGTCATAATTTCTTTATTTTTGTTAATAAGTATAAAATTTGTAAAATAATTTGATCATGAATATTTTAGTTTAGAATCAGAAATGTCTTTAATTGCACTTTGTATCAGACCCATTTTTGTAGAGCAAAGAACCCTGGGACAATACTGTCCTCCTCTTCCCCAGTCCCCAGCTCTCTTTCTGTATGGAGGGGGATTTTGGACAAAAATGCCATTGGATACAATTTCCTTCCATTGCATGATATATTTCATTCCATTCGATCGTATTTCATTCCATTCGATCGTATTTCATTCCATTCGATCGTATTTCATTCCATTCGATCGTATTTCATTCCATTCGATCGTATTTTATTCTGTTGGATAATATTTTTTGTGTGGATTAATATCTG